TCCTTTTTTTTTTTTAAGTAGGTTTCATGCCCAGTGTGGAGCCCAACACAGGGCTTGAACTCACAACCCTGAGATCAAGAGTCAGACACATAACCAACTAAGCCACCCAGGTACCCCTTATGCTGCCTTATTTTATGCTCGTTTCTTTTTTTTTTTTAAGATTTTATTTAGTTATTTGACGGAGAGAGACACAGTGAGAGAGGGAACACAAGCAAGGGGAGTGGGAGAGGGAGAAGCAGGCTTCCTGTGGAGCAAGGAGCCTGATGCAGGACTCGATCCCAGGCGGGACTCGATCCCAGGACCCTGGGATCATGACCTGAGCCGAAGGCAGACGCTTAACGACTGAGCCACCCAGGCGCCCCTGCTCATTTCTTTCTAGCTCTTGATTGCCCTACTAGATTGTAAGGCCTGTGAAAGCAGGGGCCACATCTCACTTGTCTCTGTGACTTCTAAAAATGTTTGAAGATCAAAGAAGATGAGTGGTTCACCTGGTTTCATGAAGGAAGAACTTGCCTGGGAATCTGAGCACAGCTGAGTTGTATAGCCTAGAGCCCATTTCCTCCTTCCTAAAACAAATCCAACTGATAATGTCTCCCTTCTTTCCTACAAGGATATGTTGAGACAAAATTGGGTTATACATAACATTTTGAGGCTTTTGGAGATAGAATTAGATAGGACACTTGCCTCTCACAAGTTGTATAATTTAGTTAGATGCCATCTTGTGCTGGAGTCCCCTTTAATGTGAAGACTTTCTTGCAAGCCTTCTTTTGAAAAATATATAATTTAAATGATTTAGCCTTTCCGGTGATTTTGAAATTGCTTAAGAGATTACGAATCAAGACTGTATCGGGGGACTAAGTTAATTACCTGTCTCTGCCACCAGTTGCTCTATCCATGACCCTGGAAAAAGTCACTTCTTTCTCTCTGCTCATTTTCGCCTGCTCTTCCAATGTGTTGTCAGAATACATTTTACTGTTGTAGGAAATAAATTCATGGAAATTCAGAGCTCTGAGCAGACTGAGCATCAACAGTTCCTGGCCCATAATAGGGTCTCAGTAAGTATTTGTAGATACTTACTAATGAATGAACTGATGGGTGCAATTCCAACACTGCAGATGACTGCAGTATTCCCGGCAGGCGCCATTTCCCCAGCCTCTGTTTCAGTACTTCCGGTGGTGGAGAGACTACACTCCCTCTGAAGGCCACTCATTCCCTTTGTCAACAAATTTAATTACCATCAATGCCACCTTGGACTTCTGCGAGGCGTCTTCCAAATCTGCGGGGCAGTTAATCACTGCCAAGCTGCGTTCCTCAAGCATCTTAGACATATCTGTGTTGTAGTGTTGATCTGGGTACATATAACACTCTGACTTATAATGCCTGTTATGTCTCCCTTTCTTGACTGTGAGCTCCATGAGGACAGGGGGTGTCTTATTTTCTCTATACTCCCAGCTCCTGACATAGTACAGAATAGATGAGAGACTGGGGGAGGGGAGAACAGAGAAAATGAGAAGAAAGAACAATAATAACAGGGAGCACATGTATTGATGGCCACCTCAGCGGTCCTCCTAAGAAGGTTGTACTCACCCAAGGAGGTGTGCACCAAAAACCATCCATTGGGCTTGAGGAAGAAACTATTCCCATTTTTTTAAACTCAACCATTTTAATTTCTATTTTTCTGTATGTTTTATACTATGTATACTAGTTTAATATAGCTATACATGTGTTTTGTTTATTTTTATTTATTTTCAAAGATTTTATTTATTTATTTGACAGAAAGCGAGAAAGCACAGGCAGGGGGAACAATAGTGGGAGGGGGAGAAGCAGGCTCAATCCCAGGACGCTGGGATCATGTCCTGAGCCGAAGGCAGACACTTAACCAGCTGAGCCACCCAGGCGCCCATGTGTTTCATTTATAAACAAACATATATTAGAAGGTACATACGCACACATTTTTTCATACAGGTGCACATCATAAGTTTGGAGACCCTTCGTATCGCTGTTTGTCAGGTACTATGCTAAGTATTTCACATGCATTATTTCATTTAGCCCATTGAAAATCACGTGAGGTATGTACTGTAGTTCCATTTTACAGATGAACAAACTGAGGCATGGAGAGGTCAGTTTGCCCAGTCACGCCCAGCTGGTAACCGGTGGGGCAAGGGCCCAGCCCCAGGTCTGTCTGGTCTAGCCACTTCCCCTTCTCTCTTGTTTTCTGTCCTAACACCTAGGGTTGTACCTGAGGCACAGTGCAGGTTTGTAGATTAAATACATGAAATGAATGGATGAATTAATCATACTGAGGACATCTTAAAGCTTTCTCAAGAAAAACGGTTAAAATGAAAATAAAATTTCCTTTCTCACTGTAAAGGTGTGTTGGCAACAACAAGCCAAATGACATGCCCAGGTGACACAATGGAACATTTCATTCCATTTCTTGGCAGAAAAACTGAAGCGAAGCCCAGCAAGTCACTGTTTACCGCTGAGCCTGAAGTCAGGCTGCTAGTCTTGTTTTCACATATGATGACTGAACTACCTTGTTTTTATGGAGCTATAACTCATATACCATAGAAATCAGCTTTTTAAAGAGTACAGTTCAGTTTTCAGTATATTCACGAAATTCTGCAGCAACTTAATTTCAGAACGTATGCATCACCTCCCAAAGAAACTACACACCCACTGGCTACACACGCATTCCTGCTCTCTCTGTCCTAGGCAACCACCCATCTGCTTTCTGTCTCTATGGATTTGCTCATCCTGGACATTTCATATAAGTGGGATCATACAATCTGTGACCTTTTGTCTCTGACTTCTTTCACTTAGCATAATATTTTCAAAGTTCATCCATGTTGTAGCATGTGTATCAGTATTTTGTGACTCTTCATGGGCAAATTACATTACATTGTGTGGATAAACAAGAATCTATCCATCAGTTGATGGACATTTGGTTGTTTCCACCTTCTGGCTGTTATGAATGGTGCTGCTGTGAACATTTGTGTTCAAGTTTTTGTATGAACATATGTTTTCAATTATCTTGGATATATACCTAGGAGCAAGTTGCTGGGCCACATGGCAGATGTTTAACATTTTGAGGAACCACCAAACTGTTTTCCAAAGTGGTGGCACCATTTTACATTTCCACCAGCAGTGTGTGAGGATTCCAGTTTCTTTACATCCTCACCAACCCTTGTTGCTATCAAACTTTTGTATAACAGTCCTAGTGGTTGTGAGTGGGATTTCACTGCGGTGCTGATTTTTATTTCTCTAATGACAGTGATGTCAAGCATCTTTTCTTACGTTCATTACTCCCCCAACTATTTCTTCTGAATTCAAATTATTGCTATTTTTCTTTTTTTTTTTTTAGTGTCTTTCATTGGAATATAAATTTTGTTCTTCTTATGCTATCTGTTTTGTCCCAGGAACTCTCAAAACATATTAAATACTCATGAAATCTCCTATTAGGGATTGCATAGCCTCTCAGGGTGCCAGGCGGCTGGAGCCATGGATTGTAAAAATTTAAATGAGTTTCCACCAGCAACTTTCCAGAAACTCTCTATGTTACATTGTTAGATCACAAGCTTTGATAATCCCAAAATTATGATAATGATAGTGCTTTATTCAAAACATTATAGAAACTTATGAAACCAAGACTTTTTTAAAATTATATTTTCCTAACTTTTTATATCCCTGTGAGGCAGAAAAGAAGAGAAGGCAGTAGCTGTCTCAAAGGGTCCTCCGAGAAAGTAAGTGTAGAGGTTTGAATATCTAAAAAGTTCTAGTGTGTCATGAAACAAACCTTTTATCTTTTTAGAGACAGAGGTGGAGGGCGGGGAGGGAGAGAGAGAATCCCAGGCAGGTTCCATGCCCAGCATGGAGCCCGATGCAGGGCTTAACCAACTGAGCCACCCAGGCACCCCATGAAATAAACCTTTTTGAGCACAACCAATGTTTGCAGATGGATAAGAAAATTTCAAGATTGTTTTTAAGTTATATGGCAGTCCTGGATATAAATCAGTACTCAAATGTGATGCTAACATTTCAGCAATGTTGAAATTAACCTTTGCTATCTAACTTGGTTTAGATCACAGAGAAAGGAAAGGTTTTGAAAATTCCATATGACAATTTATTCCCTGTACAGTGAAAGAATATTTACATTAGCCTCTAAAGATTTGTAGTAGTATTCATGGGAGGAAAAAAACGCCTGACAGATTACATGTATAGTAAAGTCCATATCAGTGTAAGTGTTTATTATAGCTGTGAGGTCTTTCTGGCACTCAGAACTTACATGTTCCCATTTTAGATTAAATTTTATTCGATGGCTTTTATCAGCATTAGTCATTCTCAACCTTACTGTAAGTTGAATGTATTTGGTCATAATGTTCACAGTGATGAAATTCATCAGTATTCTTGAAACTGGACTTTTATATGGAAAGTGATTTTTCTTTTTAAAAAAACTTTTTGAATATTTGTTTAGTCAAATACTGGTCAAGCACCAGACATGGGAAATACAGTGAGTGTAAGGCAGTGTTTGCTTTTGTGGAGCTTGTAGACCACCCGCAAATGCCAAAAAACCATTAGGTAATTGCAATTTTGATGAATGCTAGAAATGAACACCTTCTGATTCCAGGAGAACACTTAGTGGAGGGGCCGCCCCAGTTTGTGCTTGTCAGAAAAGGCTTCCCTGGGAGATGACACAATGTGGGACCTAAAGGGCGCCTAGGAGTTAGCCAGCACATGGGCCTCACAGGCTAGCACTAAGGCAGACACGAGCTTGATGCTCTCGAGGACTTTAATGAGTGTGGCTGATATGCCAGGAGCAAAAAGACAAGGTGAGGTGGGGCGGGGGGCAGGCGTTGTATAAGGGCACGTTAAGGATCTGGGCCTTGGTCGTTGGAGAGCCACCGAAGGGGTTAAGGCTGTAGAGTAGCATGTGTTGGTGATCTGTAAATTAAGAACGGGCAGTGACCCTTTGCTCCATCCCTTTCTTCTCTCTTGATCAGGAATATGATTGGAGAAACTATCAGCCCAGCCAGATGAGTGAATCCGAGTTGCAAATGCTGGCAAGCCTGCAGCGGCAACAGAATGAAGAACTGGAGGACCCGGGGGCTCCCCACGGCCTGAGCGCATCCCAGGTTGACAACTGTAACGTCAGCATTAGTACCAGCAGCGACGACACGACTACCTGGAACTCCTGCCTGCCACCAGTGAGTCCGGGGCTCTGGGTCTTTGTGTACTGCCTTAATGAGGAGCAAACTTCTTTCCAACAAAGCCCAGCCTTTGCCTGGGAAACCTAGGGCCAACATGAGAACCCTGCCTATGAGAAATATTCGGAGCCCATTCAGGAGCACCTGGCTGGCTCAGTCAGTAGAGCAGGCAACGCTTGATCTTGGGGTTGTGAGTTCAAGCCCCGCATTGGGTGTGTAGATTACTTACAAATAAAATAAAAGAAAGAAATATTCAGACCCCATTCTGAATTAGTGTTTTAGGTCTGAGGGCATTGCCTTTTCTTAAGCTGTCTTACTTACCTTCAGATAATGTATGTTCATTGTGTGGTGATATATACGAACATACACTGAAAGCGAAAAGGAATCATTTTACTGTCAATTCTAGGTCTCTCACTGTATCCGCAGCTCCTAGCACAGGCCTGGCACATAGAGAGGGTTGAGTATTTGTCAAATGAATGAACAAAAAAGATGTTTGCTGCTCCCAGTGTCTGAGGGCCATGATAGGTGTTGCAGACAATTCAACAGCTTATCTTTTCCTGTATGTTTATACAGTTAAAGCACTTTTAAATATGGCCCATCATCCTCACAATGGACCAGCAGAAGAGTTGGATCAGGTCAAAGTCTTACTGTCTTTCTGGTGAAGAAACTAAACTCTCCTGGGCCCAAGCTTCCACACCTGGTCAGTGGTGGAGCCCAGAGCAGAGCCCGGTATTTTGACTCAGTCTATTTTCCCCACTTCTGGCCTTGAAGATCTTATGGCTGAATTGGAAAGACAAAGTGGAAACTCTGATAGAACAGTCCTATACAACTTTAAAAATCATAAGGCAGAATAGTAAAATCAGTATTTTAATAGTGGTATTTAAAGCTACTGTTTCTTTAAACACCTAGAAACATTTTAAGACCTCCATGAACCCAAGGAAATTTACTTATAATTTACTTATATTTACCTATAAGGCCACATTCAACATCAAATCAAACATATTAAAATACACTTTCATCCACCAGTAAATATTACTTTTTTACTATACAACTTTTGAAGGGAAATATAAAATTTATTTATATTAATACACAATTAGGTAAAGGCTGAGTTCAAGTGTAGTTGACAGTGGATAACATACATTTTACGTATCTAATTAAATATTTATTAATTTTACAATTTTCTGTCTGAGAAATTTTTTTTTTCAAAGTCTCCAGCATCTTTGTAGATGTTAGAAATCTGGGAGGTTCTGGCACTAGGCTTTCTATGTGTTACCTAATTCAGTCCTTACTGCCATCTTGCGTGGTAAGCACTG